TTCCACCAGCTGTTAATCGCCCTAGCGCACCTCTGGATCAGAATTTATCTTCATAGACGAATTTTTGTTTGTCACTCAAGATACTTTCAGACTATGCTGCACCAAAATGCCTCCAAACTTCATTAGTTCCTTAATAAAATCAGCTAATTCCAAATAATTTTACTTTATTTATTTACTTTTCTCCCTCTTTTCACTCACTCACACAGAAAAAAGGCACTGTCGACGAGCGGTGCCTCTCTTTCATGCTTTATTAGCTTATTTTGTTTATTTCGTTGTTAAAGCTGTCAAGTAAACTGACAGTCTGGTTTTCAACTTGTCTTATTTGCTTGTTTTGCCGCTGCTGCCTTACTTGTTCCCATTTTTACTTATTTATTTTTTTTTCGTTCGCTTCCTCGAGACTCTTTTTACTTCTTCTTGTTCTTCACATTTCATTGATTTCTTTCTTCTCTGCCCGCGATTATAAGTAAGTTCGGCATGTTTCTATGTCTGCCATAAACATAATAATAACACAATTCCATAAATACACACGGAGAAGGCAGTAATTTTTATTTAATGACATGTGATATATGGTCGGATATTGTTGAATGTTTAATATAATAAAATATTGTGCATGTTTAATTTATATCAGCAGTCGCAGTGAATAAATTTAAGTGAATAACATGCGTGAAAACAATTTTTTATGCATTTTTAATTTTTTTTTTCTTTTCGATTAGCCTTAGCTTCTGGTTGACTGGGGGTCGGTTTGGGTGATTTTTAAGGCTACTTTGAAATTATAACGAGTACTTAAAGCGAGACATGGGTGTGTTGATGTAAACACATAACCTCAGAACTATAAATGTTGATCTCACCTGGCTTGTCCAGCACATATCCACCCAAAACCTAAAAAATCGCTCCATTCCAACACCCAATCCATTCAATTATCTCAACTTACTTCCATTCCACCATATTGCTTGCCCTCTCACATGCAATCATTTGCATATTTATATGTTATTTGGTGCTGTTGTCGCATATTGTGAGCCATGACAGCCATCAACTTACTAGGTTACTTGATTCTCGCTCACAATTTATTCTCTCGTGTGTTTATTAAGAAGATTTATTAATTCATTCAATGCGATTTTTACTTTGATGGTGGAACTGCTTTATTTTATTATTTTTTCTGATGTTGTTTATTTACTGCTGGTATTGGATATGGCAGAATAAAATATGAGGCTAGTTAATATGTGGATATTGAGACTACTGGAAGAAATTATGTGGGTCATTTTTAATGCGAATATTGTGTTGATTTTCAAGGAGCTGTCAGAATTCAAGCTGAGATTTATGGCTTGGATGGTTGATAAAGGTTTTTATGAATTTGGTACGGAGAGGGAAATTTGAGAGAATAAAAGAAAACTTGAGAGAATATGAGAGAAAATTGAGAACATTTGAGAGAAATTTTGAGAGAATAAGAGAAAAATTGAGAGAATATGAGAGAAAATTGAGAGATTCTGAAAGACAATTGAGAACATCTGAGAGTAAATTGAGAGAAATAAAAGAAAAATTGAGAGAATACGAGAGAAATTTGAGAGAATATGAGAGAAATTTGAGAGAATATGATCGACAAGAGAGTGACATTAAAGCCGCATGTGGAGTATGTGACTAATAGGGCTCACACCGCATTAAGACAGCTTTATCCGCTCATCAGCAGGAACTCACAACTCGACGTACGAAACAAACTTCTCATCTACAAGCTAGCCATCAGACCAATATTCACATATGGTTGTCCAGCGTTTGGAAGCATGGCAAAAACCCATCTTCAAAAACTTCAAGTACTGCAAAACAAATTCTTGAGAATTGTTCTCAATAAAACAAGATATGAAAGGATCACCGATCTTCATACAGAAGCGAAAATACCGTCCATCGAAGACTACGTCGGAAAGTTGCAAGCGAACTTCAACAGTCGTCTTGCATCTCAAAACACCGAATAAATCAAATGAAATACAAAAGAAAGTAAAATCCGTAAATGAAATCAAAATTAAGAGACAAAAGGCAAATTAAATGCCTGAAACCTTAAAACAAAAAGCAACAAAATGTATAGAAACTTTGTACATACTTAAATTTAAATGTAAATAAATAAAAAGTTTAATTTAAAAAAAAAAAAAAAATGAGAGAATATGAGAGAGAATTGAGAACATTTGAGAGTAAATTGAGAGAATCTGAAAGACAATTGAGAGAACCCGAATGAAAGCTAAGATATCAAACTGACTTAATCCACGGTTTCACAACACACAACAGCACACAACCTACCACATTCCCATCAGTAATCCCCTCATCATTCCACCACTAAAAAGCTTCCATAAATCAATATTTTACTACCAAATTTTATTATTTCAACATTCAATTTTTTACCCATATTTAAAGTTTATCGCAAGCCTGTCTTCATAAAACACTGAAAAAAGCCTTTTTGATTCAATAAACTCAATACACAAAAATGTCAATAATATTTCACGATTATGTCAGTCGACTCAACCTAAACAAAATGCTTATCGCTATTCATAAATGAAAAGAAAAAAAACTATTTAAACGAGACAGCGAGAATAACAGTTGACAGTTTGAACTTCTGAATGAATGCAAAAAAAATGTGGAGATTTTTTTTTCATACGCTAATGCCGCTTGCGGGCCACATCATAAATTATTTCTCATTTCAAATATAAATAATTTTTTATATATTCATTCTATGGCAAGTAATGATAATAATTTTTTCATTCTTCATATCTAACATGATTTACAGCGACGGCCTGTCAGATAGCGATTTTTTATGACTTTATATTATATGCATGCAAAAATTAATGTGAATATTGAGATGGCTGTGGTGACATGAGCGCTTATTTTTGGGGAATTTCAGCTTGGAAAGAAGCAAATGTTTGAGCACTATTGACGGACGAGATTTTAAGTTGAACGGATGCTCAGCTGCAGCAACGCTCAGCTAGAAACACGCTTAGCTAGAAAGACATTCAGCCTAAACAACGCATAGCTTTAACGACGTTTAACTTGAATGACATTCAGCTTAAATTACGCTCAGCTTGAATTACGCTCAGCTTTAACGACGCTTAGCTTTAACGACGTTTAATATGAATGACATTCAGCTTGAATTGCGCTTAGCTTTAACGACGCTCAACTTAAATGACATTAAGCTTAAATGACGCTCAGCTTGAATTACGCTCAGCATTAACGATGCTTAAATTTAACGACGTTTAACTTCATAATGTTCAGCTTTAATGCCGCTGAGCTTAAATGTCGCTGAACTTGAATGACGCTCGGCTTGAATGACACTCTGTAATGACGATGATAAAATAAACCCTTCATTCATCTCAAATAGACAAAGTTAGCTTAACAAAATCCCAATACCCTTCCACAAAACATGCACTTGAAAAAGAGACATGAACAAGAGAGATGAAAATATTATTGGATGTGGAATATATAATAAAAAAATGGAAAGAAAAGAGTCACAAAAGCAAATGTGGATGTTATAATGTTGATATGTTCTGTTGTCAGCAAATGCTGTGCAATTGTCAAGAGATTTCATCCCGATCATAAATTATTAAATGTCAATTATGTTGAAGATATTTTTTTCTTTCCTCCACTTTTCCTCTTTTTTTTCATTCTGAATTGTTCTTGTTTGTTGCTGTGTTGGATGTTTTGGTGGATAGTTGAGGATTCAAGGGATTTTTAAAAGAGTTTTACAGAATTTTGGAACTTTTTGTGGTTTTAAGAAGTTTCAGGGCATAAAAGACTAGTTTTAAATTCTTTTAAATTCTAGCAATTAATTTGAGTAGGTTTAATAATACTGAAGCAATAAAATTATATTTTGACAAAAAAAAAACAAATTTTTACTTTATTTAAAACAAATTTCCTAACGGCGCCTTTAAACCTATTAATTGTTTGTATTTCACAGTCTTATTTCACGACAGCTCGTTCATATGACTTAAATTATTTTTCAACATGTGTTTATCCGTATTGTTTAACTGTTTTCATCAAAGACGCATGACCATGTCTATCTGTGAATTTATAATTATAAAATTTCTATTTTTTAATGAGTCATTTTTGTTAAATTCTTCAAAACTTTGGATGTCATTCAGGTGTCTGTTTTGCGGCTCTTCTAACAATGTTGATATCTTTCAATTCAAAGGCAAATTTTCATTTAAGCTATAAAACTCTCATTTTTTGATTAAGGACTAATGATTGGCTATCAAAAGATTTGTCTGAATATGGACTTTATTTTTTTAATACTATCGATTTTTTAGCATAAAAGAGTGTGAAAATAGTAGACAAAAACATGCAAAGGTACTGACTTTGTTGCCTTTGTATGTTTTTTTGCTCCTATTTTAATCAGGTTTTGAGTAAAAAGAAATTTCTGTCATACGCTTAGTATGTTTTATCACATAGAACTAAAAGAAACAACAAGTAACTAGTAACATCATCTATCTAATACTGTGACTCTTAATTTAATACAGAATTTACACTTAATACATTGCCATGTTTATATCACATGGAATTTTCTTGCCAATCAAAAATCATTTTAGCTGAAATTCTAAATTAAGAGCAAAAAAACAACTTGATGTCAGCTTGGAGTCAGTTGGAGGGTTGCAGCAGGCAAATGTTTTAATATGTTCAAAGGAAGGAGTCCAACTTCAATTTATTTGCTTATTGAATATAAAAAAATATTAGCTTCTAAAATGATCCATCAATACAGATTTTTTTTGAAGAGTCCCCCCCCCCCACTTTACCCCCAAAATAAATGCATAGTCTTTCATAAATCTCTAAGTTGGATTTTAGAAATGGTGGTAAAAAAAAATTCAATAACAACCAATACCAACAGTAAATGCGCCTCTAACATCTGAGAATCAAATATTTAACTCTTTACAATCGTTTGAATCTCTACGTCTTAATAACAAACAGTTCAGTAAAAACTAATAATTTAAAAGAATCACTTCAAATTGCTTTGATAATAATTTTAATAAAATATGTTTATCTTCGTCAATCCTGCACAGACTAATCCTACACAGTCCAGCTTTGAAACCAACAATCACATAAATTCAAATTCCAAAGATGAACTTCAACTAGTGGCTAGTGAACAAAAAGGATTTTTAAGTTTTATATTCAAGATTAAGATGCCGATAGTAACAACAGCTTTGTCTTGTGAATTAGAGTATGGAACTCGAATATTTGCATGGTTTCAATTTGTTACTAATTGTTTCGTTGCTTTATTGCATTTAATGTTTCTGATGCTTGAGAATGAACAATGTGAGTTGGTTTTAAATATTAAGTTTTAATTAATTTTACTCAAATATTTTTTAGTTTATCGATGTCTGCATTTTGTAATATTTACCATCTCTGCTTATTTCGCATGGCAACTAATATCTGGAATTAATTCGGTAAGGTTAAAATGAAAATCATTTCAAGACCAGAAAATCCTGATTAACAATAAATTTTTTTCTTGTATATTTTTCAGAAAAACTCAGCAAAAATCAATAAGTATCCCGAGTAGCACCAACAACAACAACTGGTTTTACGTCGACGTCAAGGCACCATCAAGTGGAAAAAAGCACGTCACGCCGCAAATTTACCGTTGTGGCAACGCAAAGGCTTCTTCACGCACGATTTCGCCCCATTATTTCATTGTTCAAATGGGGCGAAATCGTGCGTGTAGATGCCTTAGCGTTGCCATAACGGTAAATTTGCGGCGTGACGTGCTTTTTTCCACTTGATGGTGTTTTGACGTCGACGTAAAACCAGTTGTTGTTGTTGGTGCTACTCGGGTATCTAGTCGTTAGCTTCTTCATCACAATAGTGGTGCTTATAACAGGAGTAGCTTTTTTAAAGCCATTGCACATCATTGAAATTTGTTGGAATATTTTTGTATTTATTCATGCATATTCGTTGTTTTTAAAGATCGTTAAGGACGCAATTACTGGTGGAATTTGAAAAATTTTATAATTTTAAATCTGGACTTGATGCATCCATGATGCAATAGATTCGATAATGAGCCAATTAAAGACATCATAAATGATTTTTATTTTGCTAAATATCTCCCAGGATATCTCCATAGTAATTTCTAATTTGTTTGTTTATCACAGATGACATCAGGATGCTTGTTAAGAATAATAAAAAAAACTTTTCAATAAAAATAAGAAAACTATTTATAAACGATTTCTTCAAACTTATTTCTAAGATTTTTTTTTATCTTTTTAATGCACTTTGTTTGGGTTTTTACTCAAGTCATTCATTTTAAGGTTCATAGTTAAGTTTACAGTTTGTATTAAAAATTTTACATTATTTATCGACTTCTTTTAGTCAACAGCATTACTAAGATGCGCTCTAGTTTACCTTTAATTAAGAAATTTTGATACTCATCCTGAAAAGTCCTTATTTTTCCCATTATAAAAAACATGTCGAATGATGATTTTATCAATCAGTTTAGTGCAGTTTAGTATTCATTCGCTAGTCACTAGTGACACTGCTGCAAATATTAAAGAGCAAAGAAAGCAGATCTTGCAAATTTTTCTTGCAAAAAAATTCTAATTATTAATGTTTTTCTTCATTAACGAAATCACAATTTCAATGGCCAGTGAGGAGTCAAGTTTCATTGATTTAATTTCTAAGTTAAATCTTCCAATAGTTGAGAAAGCTTGTGGTCGCGAACTGGATCAAGGAAATTTAATTTTAGGCTGGTTTCAGCTTATTTGCTACTGTTTCAATGCTGTTCTAAACCTTTTATACTTTATTGCTGTGCAATCAACTTTGGCAAAATGTGAGGATTTTAAAAAATCTGTCAAGTTAAATTTTAAATTGTAATTTATTTAACTTTAGTGGTTGCATTCATGGATTCTGCTGTGTTCATCGTTTTTGCTTATTTTGTTCGAGAGTTTATCATTGGAATCAAATTGGTAAGTGATTTAGAAAAAATAAAAAACGTTCAAAACATTTAAAGCTTATTTCTAATTGCAGAAAAATTCTTCAAAAATAAAGCAGTATTTAGTTGCTAGCTGTGTTGTGATAATTTACTTGATCGTCACAGGATTAGCATTTTTTCAGTCCACGAATATTGTTTTAGTTTGCTACAATGCTTTTACATTCGTACATGCATACTCGCTTTACTTGAAGCTTACTAAAACCAAAATTGATTCTGTCTTAGATTTTTTTTTTTAATTTAAAGAATTTGGTGTTTAATATTTATGATAAGAAATAAAAATTATACGTGTTGTAAAACTGGAAAAATGTTGATTTTTTAAATTTTTACATTTGTTGGGTAAGATGCGTCTGAGAAATCAAAGAAAGAGCTTAGCACTTTGAACTGGAGGCACTACGATTTAAATTGGTACAGAATCTATTGTACCATAACCTTTAGACTTACAGTTTTATAGTTGAAATCCAAACCATTTACAAGCTATGTACATTATGAAATATATGAGTATGTCTTAAGACCTGATGTACCCTGCAATGTAAGATGCAAGATTCCGTAATGAAATCATCCAGATGCTACATATCCAAGTATATCTCGCAAACAAGACATGTTATATGCCGAAGACTGCAAAACTTCACCCAATATATGAACCGAGCTTCGTAACTGGAACGGTGAAATGGAAAAAAGCTTCTAAAGCTTGTCTTGGTCTAGGATTGAACCTAGGACGTTTGGGTCGTAAAACCAACCACTTAGGTCACTGATACCGTTTTCTTATACTCTAGCTTCGTTGAATGAAGTTTATTTCATTTATTATCTAGGTAAGTACTTTAAAGTGTTCAAGTGACTGTAATAATGTTTTAATCTCAATTTATTTTTAGATTAAAGAAAATAAATCAAAGAAAAGAGGAGACTTTCATAATAGGACACAAAATGGCTAGTTCTGTTTATATAAACGGATTTATTTACACAATTTGAACTTTAAATCTTCGGAATTCACTAAAATTTATCTTCGTTCTGAACGTAATTCTCGGGTGCCCCTATTTGAAAAAAAAAATCAATCTAGTCTATAAATATCAGTAAAATAGGTACACAAAGTCTGTAAAATATTATACAACCCCCAGTTATTAAATCATACCATTAATGCTCAGTAATCTAGTATTAATAATGATGATATCTATCATCATGACACAAAACTGTCACATCGAAGCAAATAATCTCATATTTGTGTATATCCAGTGTCACAAAAAGACAATAAAGTGTGAAAAGAAACCAAACAAATAAATTTACGAGCCTTAGCGCTTGATAAACAGCTAATATCAAATTTGGCTTGATTATCTGCCATAATAAACATAATGTATATTAGAGAAACTGTCCGAAAAATTGTTGAAAATTGAATAAAGAGCGATTCGAGACAATATAAAAATTGAGCCTCATTATTTATTCCTGTGTCGTGTCTTTTTTGTCGAATATATATTGTGAATACGATTGCAGTATATGGCAAAACTATTTTCGTTTCTAATGACATGACAAGGTTAATTTAGCGCAGTTTTCTCGGGAATTGAGTTACTCTTGACCTTTAAATTGGCTAAATTAGCGAGATTTTATAAGATTGGAATATTTTTTGAGCTTTGGAAGCAAAGCAAGGGTTCTGGTTGATTGTAGAGGACGGGCTAAGGGTACCGTCGATTTTGTACAACCACAGCCTCTAATAAGCACAGTTTAGACTAATTGAACTGTTTTGTGACTCCAAGTTTTGATGCTTCATGTGATTTTACATCTCTTACCTCAAAAGCTAGTGCATCCTAACCCCAAAAAATAAAAACCAGCTAATGTCATGTACAATCCTTCACCAAAACTTTAAAAATCTCACTAACCACTCAAAACCCGCTCAATTCATCTACTTGTACAATTTCTGATAATTTTTTTTCCTGTTGTTTATTTGCTGCTGTTTGCTCGCTTGCCTCCCGTAATCAATAATTTATGTCACGTTCGATCCATTGTTTGCGGTATTATAATCAGTATCACATGAAATTTTTTTTCCATCTCTTTCTCATTTTCTTATTTGGCTTTACTGCTTTTCGACATTTTTTTTCTCCAGCATAATTTATAGGATAAGTGGAGATTTGAGCATTTTATTTGTAATTTAAGTTGTCTGAAAAATGTCTTTTAAAAGTTTTATTTTTTTTCGCTGAACGTGTGTGCGGCGATAAAGTTTCTTACTGTCTGTTTTAGGTGTAAATTATTGTTTTTAAATTGTTTTAGAGGTTATTTTAATAACATTAAAAGCATTTATTTCATGAAATATTACTTTACGACTATGATGGTGGTGCTGTAAATGCTATCGTGCGCAGAGCTTGCTGGCATTTTTGAAGTCGGAATGATTAATGGATTATTTTTAATGATTGAGTTGATTTTGTGATAATTTTGAGTTTGTAGGCTATTTAGACCTTAGGTATGAGTTTATCAATTCCAAAGGTTTTTTATCCAAATGTGTAAAAGTGCATGCATGTCCAACAGACCATTCCTAATAACTGACATCATTTTAATACGACTCCAATGTCAAAAAAGCAACAATGTTGGTTAAATTGTTTGATTTTGAGACATCTAACCTCTTAACATTCCAAGATCTTTAACAGATTCATAAAAAAAAAAAACAATTTATGGTCCACAGCAGAGTTGAGAATTGGGAATTGGTTCAGATTGTTGTCTTTAAATCTCAAAAATGTTGGAATCTTGTGTCTTTTTCGACTCAATTGCAGAGATGTCGTCATAGTATCAATGTGAGTCAATTATCTGAATTTCAGACCCCAACTGTGTTGGTAATTTGCTAAATTAGAATTCTTACGAATAAATTGACAGATTCTAGCCTAAGAAAATAATATTAAGCATCTTTTAACCAAATATCATGAACCAAACCTCAACCCTGATCCAAAAAACATTCCAAACACTCAGAAGCACCTGAACAACATCTCAACAGCCCGCAAAAAAATTTATCACATTTAAATTTTACCTCTGTTCTCTCCTCCAAGCCTTAATTTTTTCTTATTCTTCTTGCCATCTTCTTATCATGCTCTTAACTTCTCATTCCTTTGTGGTCTCTCATGACTGCTAAATATTGATATCCATAACCATTTGTATTTATTAGCTGTGATAAATGTGCAATATTTTTTACTCAGCCATATAAATGAGTGTCTTTTCTGTGCTGAGGCTCTTTTCGGATGTCGGAATATTTGTGGATATCATAATAATAATAATAATAATGAACAGCCAAGGCAGATGAGGAACAAAAAAGTAAGAAATATTGAAACGGTAGAATGAATGTATAATCACATAAAAGGCGTCATTAATTAATTTGTGAAGAAAAAGAGAAGAATTAAAAGAAATTTGCTGAAAAAGTAAGGAAGACATTGAGTTTTTAGACATAAAGCGCATTTTTATGCAAATTTCATTCAATATATTTAAATCTGACCTTCAACAAGCCATAAAATTATTCAAAAATTTTCTCTTTCCATCCATAAATCTAATCCGTACCCAAATTAACACACATTATTCCAAAATCAGCTAAAAGATGCCGAAATGATCGAAAATAACATTGGATAAAATGAGAAATATTATCCGCATAAATAAAGACGAAGGAAAGATGATGAAGTGCTTTATGAGAAAAGTCCAATTTATTACCTCACATAAAGATAAATAAGGAGGGTTTTGGGGTTCAAAAGAAAAGATTATTTGGTAACGTCTATGATGGAATGAATCACAATACTGTCGATACTTCATAAGCTGTGATCGTAAAAATTCATCATTATTCGACACACAATGTGATGGATTTATTTTATTATTTGATGTGAAACTTGTTGCCCCTCCCTTTTCGCAGATAAGCACTAATCTTCAGGAGCGTAATCAAGAGTTTAGCTTAAGCAGGAGTGCTGCTTGTAATATCTCTCTAGACCCCAAAAAATAGTTCATCTATTCTACAACTCTAGAAGAAGATGCCTTCAGTAGCCCCAGAAACCGACCCCTAGCTACACCCCTGCTAATCTCTTTCCACTCAACCGCTCAGCTGTTATTCATCAAAAATGAGTTAAAAGATTAAAAATCAATAAATGAGCCATATTAAGACAAGCTACTTAAGTAGATTTTCATCTACTCGATTTTGACACTTCTCTTAAGCTTGTAATTTATAGCTGCGATTGCAAAAAAATGAGACATCATAAAAAAAAATATTTTTAAGTGCCTCGCCACACATTTCAATTCAATTTGTCAGCTTTTTAACAAGATGTGACTTTGAAGTAAGCAGTTAGAGACTGGCGGATTAGAGACACAAAAAAGAACTAAGAAACTATTTGTAGCTCTTTTGTTACGAGACTTAAAGGTGTGGATGTGATTTTTGGATTGGATAAAAATTTATGAAAGTTGCTGCTGGAATTTTTGGGTGATTTGTCATGTTTCTTGTTAAAATTTTAAGTTAAGACAGTAAAATATTAAGTTACTAGTAAGTCATCCTTGGGATACCCAAGATAAAATTCCTGAAGTTTAATTATTCATCTAGAAATCCAGCCAACCATCAATCTGATCAGACAATCATTCAGACAAGCCTGAGAACTTCCACAAACCCATCGACATTCCATAAATATAATTAATGATGTGTCACAAATCTAAACTTCCAATTATCTCCAAACTAACCTCAAAACATCAACTAATTACTTCAAACTACGCAGCATTAAGATTTATGTCATAACAACCGCTTTTCGCAATAAAATTCACAGCCTCTGCAAATTAATAGAATCAATAAATTCAAATTGCCTCAAAAAAAAAAAATTTTTTTTTCTGTCGCTATGACAAATTGCGCGAGTCTAATCGAGTGTAAATTTTATTCGAAAAATCGTCATTAAATTGTCCGAAAAACAAATTTATTTTATTATTATTTTTTCGTTCTATTGCCCTCGACTCGACTTGAGGACGGAAAGCGAAATCGAATGAAGCAATAAAAATATGACAAAGGCAATTAATTTAGTCAATTGCTGCTACGCTTAGTGGGTGAGCCAGTGTCGGATCGAATGTTGAGTAAAGTACTCACATACATAATAATTTCATTTTTTATCGTTGGGTTTTAGTTACACATTAAAGATTGAGATTGTTGAATATGGGTGGAATGGATGTTGTTGGAATTGGGGAATTGGATTCATAAGATAAATGTTATAATAGGTTTGAGTGGGAGACAAGTGAATCTTACTTACTTACTTCTTTCTGGGGTGCACGTCGGCCCATTGCTGCGTTCAGAGATCGTCTAAAGACAGCTCTATCCTCCAAAACCTTCTGCCAGTTCGGGATATTAAGGACTCTAGCGAGCGAATCTAGAGTTCTTTATATTGTGAGGTTCATCGAACTTCATATGGCTAAATCATTTAATGTCATCGAGCGTAGCAATTAAATAGTAGCAATCAACCAATAACATACATACGTAGAAACTAAACGAGCACAAGAGCCAGCAAATAACGGATTAGAACATTGTCTTATAGAATTGAGTCGAGCTTACTTGTAAAATGTCCTGGATTCAGTCTTAAACACTGTTTAGTTGAAATCTCATTGTATTTTTGCCAATCAAGTCAAGAAGCTCATTTCTTGTCTTTAAGAATCGAACTTACGCTCTCACAAAATAGGACACTGCTGATTTCAAGTCTGCTGCCAAACCACTAGCCACAGCGACAGTATGAAGATGGATTCATCTTCACATGACTCGAAAAAAAGATCCAACGAACATCAGAAGATTAAAATACCATAGATGGAGTCAGCAATCATCAATCGAATAGCTTGAAACTTATCATATCCGAACAATATAAGAAAATTCCACAGCTCCAAATTCCATCATAATCAAGTCAACCGAAACATCCGCCCTGCTTAGAAAAATGATTTATGATGACTCAATATTACGACAACTGGATTGGCTTTTTATTACCTTGTCGATGCAGTTCGTGTTGTGTTTAATAAATTAAGCGCGTATATATACACGTGAGAGCAAAGCTTACAAATAGCAAAAGAGAGGAGAAATAATAATTGAGATAATTAATTATAAAGCGCTTGAGCTTGATAGGAGTCTAATGAGCGTTACATTTCAATGTTTTTATTTTATAATCTACGTATCTCTGCTGAATATTTATACATCTCAACTGAATGATTTATGAAATCTGCGCTAATAAAAAAATAATACATAAATGTATTTATATGAATGTTCATAGCAATAAATTAACTTTTGAAGTCTATAAATCGTGAAATAAATTGTAATTTGTATGTCGATGATGTCACAAATGTATAAAGTTTCCTTCTACGGGGCTTGAGGCGATGTAGACTTTTTTTTCTGTCTCATATAACGGGCAACTGTTTCTGCTTTTTTTTCTGTCGTCTGTTTTTCCATTTAAAATGTTGTAATGACGATAAAAATCACATTAAATGACTGGTAGAATTAAGCAAACGAGGAAGCTGACTTAAAAATGTCTTTTCAATATGAAATTTGATGGGATCTGCGGTGGGATGTCAATTTTAATTGCCAAATATGTTTGATCAGGTTCTTTTGATATTGATTTTTGCTTTTATGTTGGAAAGGAAATGTAAATTGAATTTATTTTTATTTAAATTTTGGTAATTTTTGGTTGATATTGAAATGGATGGGCTAAGAGGTCATGTCTATATTTATTTTGGGACCTCCCAAAGTTTGAGACTTTGTGGCACGTGAACATAAAAGAAAATCAAAATTTTGAAACAAAAAGAAGTGGAAAGATTAGAAAATCTCTATTTTGAAGTTTGAGTGTCCTCAAATGTTCTCTAGTGTCATTCAGGTATTACTGGATACAGAATTAATCCAAGCATCCCTTCCGATACCCACTAATTTCATCAACAAACTCTCCGTTGCTATGGAAACAAAACTGCTTCTCTGGACTGTCATCAAGCCTCCGTCAGTTGAAAAATATAAACTATTAAATCAATCTTCTACTTCAGTTAACTAGAATTAGCAGCACTAATAAAAAATTTCATCACCAGCAATAAATCATCATGCAAAGTCTACAATTATCTGTTTTACGATTTCCATTTATTATTATTTCTTTTTTGTAATACCTCAATGTACATTTGATTACTTTAATAACTTAATATGCATTTACGTAATTAGCAAATGTTTAAGTCTTTTTTATTCAGCTTTCAATAATTTTTTTTACTGCACGTAATAATGGATTTTAAACGAGCAGATTTCAAAGGTGCTGAATCATGATTATTGGTACTTGTTTATGGACTAAATCGTTATTTTTTGTGATGAAAGGTTAATTGATGTTTTTTAATAATGGGGATAAAATGGTAATTATTGGATTTATTGAATGAGGTTTGATGTATTTTGATGGTGGATTTTGAATTGGTACAAATAAGTAATAGAACCTCCTTTCCCAGGTGTAAACAGATCGAGCTTAGGGAGTCAATATCTATATCGATGGGAAAATTTAATTCAAGTGTGCGGAACTGATGAAATGATGGTTAACAATTATCAAAATTATCAGTTTTGCACCCGTGTTGTAATAACTATTGTAGCTTGAAAGTCTTAAAAAAGGAGAAGGGGGGGGGGGGGTTTGATCTGGGACTTTTTTTTCTCAAAAAACGGGAATTATGATCTTCCATTCTACACCCCGTTGCTTGTTCTTCGCTGCTATTTCTCACTGCATTATTTGGACACAAAAATCCAGCAAATCATCATTCCTTGATGCAGGGGGTCATTTTTCGAGCTTTAACACTGCAAAATTAAATTTCTTGTTAACTTTTTAATAATTTTATGTCAGTCATAAATAAGTTTTACTGCCCATAACAACATCAACATCCAAATACGGACAGCTCAAGCCAAACAAACAATTAAAATCAAACAATACATCACTTCAAACTTACATTTCAAATTATTCCTCTTCAAACCAAACTTACAAAAAAAAGAAAAAAAAATGTTAATTTAAATCCGCGGTTGCAACGTGAGTTCGCAAATCGAACATGTTGTGTGAGCTTGTTCAATTACTTATTTCTTCTTATTACCCCCACAAAATGAAATAAACTCTATTTCAAACCCATTTCAAGTGGCATAAAATTTGTATTTTATTTATTTTCGACAATATATTACGTCTCATTTATGTAGATGTAGTTTAGTATGGAATAAAATAAAAATATAAATTAGCATTTAACTAACCACATTTGCTAATGGAATTTTTGACTTCAAAATGAGAAATGCCGACAGTAATGACGATGAAACAAGAAGGAAAAAAATAATGTGAAGCGAAAATTACTGAAAGTGTCGTTTTGAGAGGTTTCAGAAAGTTTTGATGGTAAATATTTTTTTTTGTTGGGAGACTTAGTGGCGGGAATGTGATTTTCGAAAGGGATTTAAAATTACAAAAATTGTTGCTCATAAAAAAACTCTTGAATTCAGGAGTTGTCATTTAACGTTTTTCTTGATATTTAAAAGTATTTTTCATTTAACTGTTTTTTTAAGAGTTGCGATACAGGTTGCCTGTCCCAGGCACAGGTGATAGATTTGTCACAGATATTGTCTGTGGAATAAGTCAAAGCAAGGGCGTAGCCAGGAATTTTAAAAGGGGGGGTTTTTCATAAAAACCTTGGAAAAATAAAGAATTTTTATTTGCGTTGGGGGAATTGTCCCACAAATCCTTCCCCTGGCTACGTCTGAGTCAAAGTCTATTTCTAAGTGTGGACTAATTTTGTAATAAGAAAAGGAATTGTTTACAAGTATAGATTAATTTTGAAATAAGGCAAAGGCTTTTTACAGAAATTGCATATAAAAATTCTATTGGGTGGAATTTTAAAATTCCAAATTAATTTTTCACATGCAGATTTAAATCAAATTTAATAAAAAATCACTTCGGTAAAACGATTTAAATCAAAATCCTTACTTCATTTATACGAATAGCACTAAAAGTAAAAATATTATTTTAAAAATCTTTTCTAGAAAAGTATAAATATAAATAAAATAAACATAAAAGTTGAGAAATAATTTAAAAAAAGTCCAAAATTTAAAAAATAATTTTTTTCAAATAAACCCAATAAATTAAAATGTATTAAAATGTATTAAAAAAAATCATCAAACCATTTCACATTAACAATTCCCTTTAAATCACCATCCCTGTTAGTCTCAAAGCACATGCTGAAAATAAAATTAAGTAGCCAACCTGAAAAATATGACGACAAGTTGTTTTGTACAACTTTTTTTATGTAAAGTGAATGAAATAAAACAATAGCAAATTAAGATTAATAAAATGTTCATTTTCATATATTTTCTATTATTTGCTTCTTAACAATCCTCGTTTTTTGGTATAACTATATACATTATACAAGTTATATTATACAATAAAAAAATAGAAAGAATTAAAAGTGAAATAAAATTATAATAAACAACAAATTAATGAATCATTAAATGCTACAGAAAAAAATAGGGAGAGGAAAATTAATTTTTTTATGAATTAAAATGTTACCTTTGCGGTGGTTTTGGATTGATTTTTTGAAAAATCTGAAAAAATTTCAATGTTTTAGATCTTTTTTTTACATCAATTTTTCTGTTTTTTTAAATTTGTTTGAAAATTATTTTAAATTCTTTTGTTTTAATTTTTTTTTCAATTTTGATATTTCTAGAATTCCAAAAATTTCTAAAAACTAGTTTTCAAAAATTCTGTCAAAACCCCGCACATGGGACACAAGACAATAAAATTTATGTTTCAAAAAATTAATTTATGGTCATTAAAATTAGAATAACAAGAACATTTTCCTTGTAATGTCATTTACTCGATTCTCATTTTTTTGGGTGATTTAAATTTAAATTTTAATTTACATTTTCTTCATTCTCACTTTGGCGACCTTTCATTTTATAAAAACATTAAAAAAGAGGAAAAAAAAATAAAATTGTCAATTTTTTTTCTTTTTCAGTAAATCGTATTTTCATTAATTTCAAGGGTAATTAAAATTATTTGAGGCAAACAAAAAATAATTTTTGTGTGTAAAACAAAGAGTTAATTTTAAACATTTTTTTTCTACATCGCAAATTTTCTTTGAGAATTTTTATGGCTTTCAACAGACTGTAAAATTTTTCAGAAATGAGTTTTTGATTGCCGATTTGAGTTATTGAGGTTATGTCATGGGAATAATCATAAAGAGGAGTTTAAAAAATTTAGTGAAGCTAGTTTGGGTCTCTTAAGATTGTTGCTAAAAGCTTCTTATTTGAGTATTCGAGTGGGAGTAAGTTTTTGAGGTTGTATGTTACGATAACACTTTAATGGCTTGAAAACTTACTCTAGCTTCTCAAATATTATTAAAAATAACTTCTTTACTATCAATTTAGCAAAAAGAATTCTTAAATCTGGCTAAACAGCTATATTCTATAAGATATTATAGTTGGGGGCAAGGCTAGGTGCCCATTAGAGGCGTACCCAGGATGTCATAGAGAGGAGAAATTTTTTTGTATGGATTTTTAGGATTATTTCATAATAACCCTAGAAAAATAGAAAAATTTCTGTTGACGTAGGGGTATTTGGCCAAAATCACCCCTCCCTGGCTACGTGCCTTTGTTCAACTAATCATCATTTCTTCAAAATTATAAAGACAGATTCCTCCTCCCCAAAGAATTTCCGATTTTTTCAACAATTTTTCTAACCCAAACTTATTCATCTGATTCAACATCACCAACAATCAAGAGTAAAGATTCATTTTCGCCTAAAAAATATTACTTCCATACTCAAAGCGTGATTTTCTCTCATTTCTTTTTAAAAAATTTATAAAGTTTTTTTTTTACTTTAGTTAATTAATTATATACACATGTCAAGCTGTTGTCAGCAAAAATGCAATTCACTGCTACCGACTGAGCGTGAAACATATAAACATACAGTAAATTTTTACACAAACACAGCAAGATTCATACTGCCAACTGTCATGTCTTGTCATCACCTCTCTCTTTCTCTCCCATCCACATGTAGTTTTATGGCTGTAAATTGGACGAACTCATTCGTGGATAGAGAGCAGCATATGGTGAGAAATATTGAGCAAGTGATGGATGAGGTGGAAGAAGTCCAGCGAGTGATGAAGCGCCAGGCGGTGGAAGAAGTGGATTTTTACTGTACGGATGATAGCGAGCACTTGACAGGGGACTCAAGGGTGGTGTTGGATATGTTCGGGGAAATGCAGCGAGTAATGAGTTTGTTGATGCGGATGAGGCATTGAGGAGGGCATCTGGAATTGCATTTCCTGTGTGCTCAGCTCTGAGATGTTGAAATAGGTCATCTGATGCAGAGAATCTTTTGCCACAATAGCTTGAGTCTGTTCCTACCCAGTTGCAGCTGTAAGGAAAGAAATTTCTAATTAATTTACAGTGATTCTGCTTATTTTTCGGATAGTTCCTCAAAATTTTCATCAAATCGTCAAGTCAAATTCTGAATAGTAGTCCATAGTAACCAATTTACTCAAAACAAAGGAGGAAGGAAGGTTTAATAAGTTACAAAACTCAACTTACACATACGGCATTTGAGAAGCAGCAGCAAGTTGAGCTAATTGTGCATGATAAGCCATCGCAGCAGCAGGATTGGAAGCCATAGCCTTACTCATTGAATGATCGCATGTACATCCAGGTGGACATGCACTTCCAGCACCATTTTTTCCAGCCATCATATGTGATCCTAAACTACATCCCGTACAATATGGATCCCTACACATTCCCATCATCATATCCGCAGCACTTGATGCTGCCTTCATCCTAGCATAGTTAAGATATGGATTGAGTGCAGCAGCTTTTAACATTGACTGATGTTGTGCTATGAGATCCATTGGATTTGCATAAGGCCCAGGAGCATAAGGATATCCGTTGAGATAAGGCATCGTTGTATATGGACTAGCAGCTGCTAAGCTCCTCAGTGCTGCAATATCCTTATCTATATGAGATTTCTGTTGCTGAGCTTCTGCGGATGTTGGTGTTGTTGACTTGAGTGAGGCACTTGATGAATTTGAATTTGATTTCTCATTTGTCGTCTTTGGCGATGCCGATGGAGGTGACTTTCTCGTATGCTGTGAACTTGTACTTGCTGTTGATTCGCATCGTTCAATGCCATTCGAATGCGGCGATGTTATCACTTTTGCATTTACATTTGCTGCTTTAAGTCGACTCGCTACTCGTAAATCATCTGGCATATCATTGTCTCGCACACTCGACTCGTATGGCTTGAAACTTGACTTAAAGTCACTCGGTGAGCTGCCATTAAGACTTCCGCTTGGTGACGTTGAAACTTTGTCTCGCATTTTGTTGCTTTTCTCAATATTTGCAAGTAATTTTGGATTTGGTGTTGCATCGGAGCCTATTGCACTACATGTCTGTGCTAGCAGGGCTAATGGACTTGACTTTGTGTCAAACTGTAAAGAGAAAGACAGAAATAAGAAAATTAATTTAAATTAATTAATTAACGACAATTAATTGTGAGATTTGCTGTAAACTATGCAATTGCTGTTAATTAACCTGAGCCATAAATTTTATTTCTTGATAGTTTTGTTGCTGCTGTTACTGTATTCTGTTTAGTGATTATTTTAAATAAATTGTTTGTAATCCTTTTTACAGGTTCTTATTTTTGCATGAGAAGTATTGCTTGTAATTCTAGCTGAATTAAGGTTAGACTAGCTGAATTGAATTTAGACTAGGTGAATTGAGGTTGATCTAGCTGAATTGGAATTAATTTAACTGAATTGGAAATTTATGAGTTAAATTGGAACATTTTGAGCTCAATTAAGGTTATACCAACTGAATTGAGGTTAGACTATCTGAATGAAAGTTAATCTAGCTGAATTGGTACATTTATGTTAGCTGAACTGAGACTAGCTGAATTGAGGTTAAATTAGCAGAATTGAAGTTAATCTAGCTGAATTGAAACGTTATGAGCTGAATTGGAATATGCTGAGCTAAATTAGGGTAATACCAGCTAAATTAGACTAGCTGCATGAAAGTTAATCTAGCTGAATTGGAACATTATGAGCTTAATTTAAGGATTCTAGCAGAATTAAGGTTAGACTAGCTGAATTGAGGTTTGATAAACGGAATTCCGATTAAACTGGCTAAATATTAGAAAATTAAAGTACCTTTCCCTTTATCTCATCCAGTCTCAATAGTCAAAATAAATTTAAAATTATTGCCGCAATTTCAAGTGTTAAATTTCAACAATTCTTCCTTCACTCCCAAAACAATAAATGGTTCATTAAAATTACGCAATAAATTTTATTTTCAATACTCCTTTTAGTGCCACTGCTGCCATTATTGTCATTATTATTATTATTATTAACAAAAAACACACAGAACAATTTTTCTGTATTAGCATTAAATTACCCAAAGGAGAAAGAAGGCATTGCACATATATAAAGCATGAGAGAGAGAGAAGAAAATAAGTTTTATGTAGCAATTTACGGTTGTGCTACTAACAATGATAATAAATTACGCGTAATGTTGGAAGTGGTAGAAGTGGTGTTAGCCTCAGTACAGAAAAAATAAAATTTATTATATTAAAATGTTAAATTCAATGACAATTTTTATTGCCCTCCTTGCAGTCCCTGCCCTTGGTTGTGGCATTCCTTTAAGGAAAAAGAATTTTGGGTTTCTTTTCTTATGTGATATTTAAGGAGGTTCTAGATATATGAGGAAGAATAAATGCTTTTTGCAAGAAATTTTTAAGACTTGAGGTAGACTAGAGCGCATTTCGGATGAAGTAACGTGAAATTTTGGCTCCTATTGATGTTGTCGGTCGACTTTTTGTTCAAATGTATTATTTATGAGTTAATAATGAAACAGTGTCTTCTAAAAGTTTAGAAATTGTTCAAATAATGAACAAATATTGCGAGTAAGAAAGTCACAGACAGTTTGCGCATAGAGCGCATTTTCCAGATTCATGTCAATAGATAATCTTCATAAAGTTTTGACTGATTTGTCAATTTATTTATCAAGTTACACAATTCATCATGGAATGGTTCATTTTATCAAGTTTTAGCAATATCTTCCTCCTAAGGATTATTATCATCTGTTCCTATTACGTAACTCATTAATGCTCCTTGATATCCCAAGAAAAAATGACTCAAATTCAACCCATTCACCCAAAACAACAAGCCATTAAGGCAAGGCTAAATGGCAATAAATTTTAATTGAATTGCTTTTTAAATGGATATATGGGGGGGACATTGTGACATAGCTGTATGTGATATTAATGCAGGTCTTTGTCAGTAAGTTTAAGCAATAAATTTTCATCCCTATAACTGAAAATTGCTGTTACTGCTCTTTTCTCATCTGCAAAAAAAAATAATAATAATGAGATTTATGTTTGTGTGTATGGACACTCATTGCCGGTGTATATTACAAACACAAGCCTAAAGTAGTAAGAAGAAGAAAACACTTTTTTTAAAATTTATGATGCAAAACAGACAGTTTATAATTCATAAGTCATATTTTACAAGCTTATGTTCTCACTTGAATCTTGTTATATACTCAATTTCCTATCTCACTGACTTTATAATGTGAATATATGCATATGTGCTCAGGTTAACGAGTAATGATGAATGACTGAGCCATAAATTTTTTGATTTTTAATGGCAATAAATTAAAATTCAACCCAAGATGTGCGATGTGTATCACTATTATTTATTGGCTTTATTATTGAGAGACTTCAATTAATAATTAAAAAGTCGTATGAATAGAAATCATCCTAGTGTTGGAACTTAGTGCGTTTTACTAAGATTAGGGAATCTTTAATGCGTTGCATCGAATTTGAATTTAAGCGTTGCTTTAAGTTTAACTTTAAAGTGGTACTTTATGATTGGCTTCAAAGTGTTGTGCTAGGATTGATTTTAAAGTGTTGCTTTATGATTGATTTTAAAGCTTTGCTTTATGATTGACTTAAAAGTGTTACTATATGTTTGCTTTTAAAGTGTTGCTTTATGGTTAACTTTAAAGCGTTGTTTTATGTTTGACTTTAAAGCGTTACTTTAGGTTTGACTTTAAAGCGTTGCTTTATGTTTGACTTTAAAGTGTTGCTTTCAGTTTATTTTTTAAAGCAAGACTTTGCCCTTAGTACTGAAAATCGCGCTTAAAAAGCAGACCTCATAACGAAATACATCGCAAGGCCATTAGAGGTTGAAGCAGTAAAAAAACGTTATTGCTTATTGCTTAAAGTATCTGATGAGAGAAAATGAAATAAAAAGATTTTTTTATTGGGAAATAAATCATTGAAATTTGATTGAAATTGACACCGAATGAGATACGGTTGAAATGTTTTATTTATTTTGTAAAATTTTTCTTCTTTTTTTTTGGAAAATGATTGTGGATATTTTAAATGAATAGAACGGATTAAAGAATAGTTTTGTAGTTTTGGTGGATCAAGTTAAATTTTGACAAAATTTCGATAAGAATTTTTTAAAAGGTAAAAGCGCACCCAAGATTTTTTATGAAGCTGTCACTAAATCACCATGTTCTATCTTGTCCTAAGTTAGTAATTGACCCACAATTATTTATTGTAAGCACAATTGTAATAGATAAATTAACCATGATAATCTGAGTTGAATAGAATCGTAATTAAACGAGTTACATTTTAACTTTAAAGCTTAGGTTCGAGTCTTAACAATCAAAAACAGTTTTAGAACTTTGAATTCAGAAGTATTTTTATATTTTTTTACTCTTTAATCTTATTACAATTTTTTTAATTCCTTTAAAAATTTTAACTTCCTAGATTCCGACTTTACTCGTTCCCTCGTTCCTTGTCTTTATCTCCATGTATTTTCTTACTTAATTTAAAAATAAATTTACAACATAACAATAAATTACAATTTCATTTTTTTTCCTTCCTTTTAAGTACAAAAATTCTTTTACTTTTTTTTTATTTTGCTTTCTTAAAAACTGCATAAACAGCATGAAATAAATAATGCTTTATAGTCATTCACATAAGCAACAACATTAAAGAGAATAAACGAAAAAAAAATAACAGCATAAGAAACACTGAGTGAGAGAAGGTAATAAAGATAAGTTAAGGTTACTTAAATGTGTCTTGCTTTTATGCTTATTTATGTTGTACGAAAAAAGGGCAAGGAATGGTTACTTTATGCTGATTATTATGTTGAGATAATTTTTATTTTGTTTCATTTGCAGGGAAATTTTCCATTGTTGAACTTTTTTTATGGGTTTATGGGAGAATGATGAGGTTGGAATGGAGGAACTCGTCAAGCAGAGCTGATGCGATGTGGTAGTTTTGTGGATTTTTGGGATGTTTTACATTCAATTGGGGTTCATTATTAAGTGATGTCTACGAAAAAGGGCTTCTTACACTATCCTGGATCTGATATTATGGACGGGGTCATTCATTCACTTTAGAATGATGATTTTATGACAGGAAAGGTGCTTATGAGGATGTATTAAGATCTGCAAGAATTTAAAAAAAAATCTCAAACTTAGTTGAGATAGTCGGACATGTTAAAAAAGAATTGAAAATAAAAGTTTGGACCTTTTTGACCTCTTTGCTAAGTCTAAGACCCCTAGAAAGTATAATTGCTATCTCTTGGGCATTTTTTTATAGAAAACAGATCACTTCTTTGCCTTACCAGAATATCTTTAACAACCTCAGTCCCCAATAAATGCGCTACATACCCACCTTAATCCCAACTTTCTACTCTAACTTTCCCAATTCTCAACTTTTTATTTTTCCTTCCTTAAAAAAGCAGTTCAAAATATAATAAAAATTTATGAATCTAATTGATTTTATTTATGGCTTTTTGTCGAATGATTTATTGTTTAATTATCATCATTTACTGTTCTATCTCTCTCATCCTTTCCCCCTTTTGGTTGTTATTTTATTGCATAAGTTTTCTATCGCCATCTCACTTTAACGGACTCGATTTTTTTTATTCTTTATAGTTTTTGGTTCTTATTCATAAATTTAAACGAAATGATTAAGTGAATTGAAATGAAATCAACATACAGAGTAATGGATTGCTGAGGAGAGGAATGGTGAAGGGAATGAAAAATGGGATGACCCTTAGGTGAGGTGTTGAATGGATTGTAATAAATTGCAATGTTTAAAGAAAATATAAGTTTAAGTTCATATTTTGCGAAAATTTATTAAAAATATAATATTTCATTATTGGCATGAACTTTAAATGATGAAATTAAATTTGTGCAAAATATGAGTCGTCAAGGTTTAAATCCTTCAAAACATTCAGTAAAAATTTGGAGTTTTTGTAAAAACAGCTATTCATTTTTTTTGATAATTTATAAGATGGAAGTTTTTCCACATTCAAAAACATTGTTATTTTTTAAAAAAAATATTTGGTTGCAAAACTATCACTTTAATGAAAATGTAAGTGTCGAAAAATATAAATATTTTTTTAAAAACCGCTAAAAAAAGGTTTAATAGATTTTTATGTCCATTAGCTTTATTTTTTTTCCATTTTGCTAAAATTCATAAATTGAAAAAATATTTAAAATAATTCACCAAAAATTTTTTTAAAAAAAGTCCCGCAAGGAACGAATGAAGAAGATTGAGCATAAAAAGTGCATGTTCCGTTTCAATATTTCTTATTTTAAAACTCGAAAGAAGGCCGAGAATAAAAGAAAAATTGCCGAAAAAAAAGAGCTGAGAATGGAAGGAGGAAAGAAGATTAATGGAATCAAATGAATTAATAAATTAAGAAAACGAGCAAGAGAGACGCAAAAAGGAATTAAAATGCAAAGTTGAAGTCATTTTTTATGTTTGTTTATTTCTTACATACAAAAAAGAAATATAAGCACAGGAATTTTCTTTTATGGAAGTTCAAAGGGGAAAATGAAATTAATGGAGGTAAAAAAAATTGCAAATTGTAGGTTTTTAAAGGGTTGATAAAATCATTAACAATTACTTGTTTATGCAATCAGGCCCTTTTGGCAATAAATATTCTTCAAGTTCCTTTACTAAGCATCATGTTGAGACTTGTAGGATGACATTGTAATTTTGGAAGTGTATTTGGCTTGGCAAATTTATGATTTAGGATGGAATTTTTTTTTGACAGTTTTAGAATTTTTGGAAGAGTTTTGAGTTCAAATCTCGCTAAAGAATTTTTGTTAAGCTTTTAAAAGTTTTACGTTTAAAATTAACAAAATATTAGATTTTTAACCTTCAACACCCCCCCCCCCCCCTCTGCCCTTTGTCATCTCCCAAATCTCAATTTTATCGCTGAATTCAAAAAATATAAACAGTTTAATTTCTCACAAATTATTTTGCCTCTTAAACAAAAAAAAACAATTCAA